GGATTATAGGCATGAGCCACCGCGCCTGGCTTTAAACACGCTTTCAAGTGCTAAGATGCTGTTGGAGCTCTGGTGCTCAGACCGCTTTGTTTTTGGCCCAGTAGGGAGGCTTTAGAGAGTAGGGTGCTGGCAGAGTTACCCAAAGACATGGGGCTCTATCCCACTGCTTTCTAATTTTTTTTCTGAACAGACCTGAAGCATTTCTTGGCAGCAGACTTCCAAGACTAGAGTCACTCCCTCAGATGATGGAAAGCTTTGCTTTCTTTTCCTCATGGAAAAAATAATTCTTGGGGAGAGGCAGTGTGTGCTTAACACACAAGGGGATGTGAGGCTATTACAGCATGCTTCTTGCTCTCCAGGGTGTTATTCTTGTTGGTGAGACAAACATTGGTTCTCTCTCTTCTATCTGCACTGACCCATCTTTGAGTCTCAGCATTTTTTTTTTCTGTTTTGTGACAGGATCTCTCTGTCACCCAAGCTGGAGTGCAGTGGCACCATTATGGCTCACTACAGCCTTGACCTCATGGGCTCAAGTGATCCTTCCACTTCAGCCTCCCAAGTAGCTGGGATTATAGGCGTGTACCACTATGCCCAGCTGATTTTTCCTTTCTTTTTTTTGGGGTAGAGATGGGGGTCTCACCATGTTGCCCAGGCGGGTCTCAAACTCCTGGGCTCAAGCAGTTCTTCCATTTTGGCCTTCCAGAGTGGTATGATTACAGGCATGAGCCACTGTACGCAGCCACTGTCTCAGCGTTTTGATGAAGGTGCTGCAGATTAACAGCGGTGAATAGGAGACTGGTCATGAGGTAGAAAGTGTGAGAGGATGATCATATGGTATGGGGACAGCTCTGAAGGGGAAGTAGTGGGTGCTAACGTCCACATAGGAAAGATAGAAGGGTGGGATTAAAGAAGGCTTCTTTGGAAGAGGTGACAACTGAGACCCAAAAAATGAGGACATAACTGGGTGGAATGGTGGTGGGCTTAGCAGCAGGGAGATTGAGGGAAATGTATTCAGGCAGTTGGAACCACGTGTGCAGAGCTCCCGGTTTAAGAGAGCATATGAGGGCCAGGTGCAGTGGCCCATGCCTGTAATCCCTGCTATTTGGGAGGCTGAGGCAGGAGAATCACTTGAACCCAGGAGGTGGAGGTTCCGGTGAGCTGAGATCACACCATTGCAGTCTAGCCTGGGTGGCAGAGTGAGAGAGACTCTGTCCCCTGCCAAAAAAAAAAAAAAAAAAGCAAGGTATGTTTAGGGAGCTAGGAGAAGTCTACTGTAGTTGGGGTGCTGTGTACAATGATGAGAAGTGAGTGATGAGGCTGCAGGGGACACATTATGGGGAGTCATGAAAACCATATCTACCTTCATTTGTTTTTTCAGCATCCTCAGCCATGTTTTTTTTCAGGGGTTTTCCTTTCTTCTTTCAAGTGCTTTTCAGTTTTAATCTTGGGGGAAAGAACCTTTTGAGCCTATGATTATCTCCTAACTACTGTCCTATTTTGTTTATCAGAATGCAAGACTTGTAGGATGTGTAAATGTAGCTTTTGTGTCTTCACCATTGTTTACTCTAGAATTCCCTGATCCTGGACTTTCGAATTCTCTTATAAAAGGTTTTCCAGTTGTCATATTCATTCTTAGGTCCTCTGAAGTGGGACCTCCAGAGCCTTCTGTGCAGGGTTGCCTGATGGATCCTGGAGTCCTTTAGGTGACATTTTTCTCAACTCTTCTCCTCTGTTTTGTTTTATAATGAAGCTATTTGGAATGGGAGGATTTATTGTTACTGTAGAATATTTTATTTTTTGTGTGAGATGGAGTCTCCCTCTGTTATCCAGGCTGGAGTGCAATGGTGTGGTCTCAGCTCATTGCAACCTCCACCTCCCAGGTTCAAGCGATTCTCCTGCCTCAGCCTCCCAAGTCGTTGGAACTACAGGTGCATGCCACCACACCTGGCTAATTTTTGTATTTTTAGTAGAGACAGGGTTTACCTATGTTGGCCAGGATGGTCTCGAACTCCCGACCTTGTGATCTGCCCGCCTTGGCCTCGCAAAGTGCTGGGATTGTAGACGTGAGCCACCGCGCCTGGTCTGGAATAATTTTTAGAAGAGATTAAAAAGGTTAAAATGGAGTTACTGTGAGTTTCAGAGTATAAAGTTTAACAATTTTCTAAAAGTTTTAAATAGTCCTAGGTGTTCTTTTTTTATTTTCATTTTTTAGAAAGAGCAGTTTCTGTGGTGTTTAGACACCCTACTGGGTAGAGAAGTAATTGATGATTGCATAATCAGTAGATGTAGCTGTTGGGAGATGAAGGGAAAATGGGCTCATCAACAGATACGGGACTATGTCTCATAAGTGTCTGATCCATCTTTCACCTTGTTTTCCATTCCTCCTCTAGCCAGCTCCAAGTTAGGCCTTCAAGCATTTAAAAAATACTGAGCATTTTTAAACATTGAGGTTATGTAATGAGATCCTACTTTTTTTCTTTTTTCTAAAAAAATGTAGTTATATGAACCACATTATAAAGGAGAGTAATATTGTAGACCATAAATCCAGGCTCATGGTGCATACTTGATAAACATCTTATTAAATGAATGAATATAAAAGAAATAAATTCACTCACCTTCTTTATGGGCTCTTAACTCCTGTGCCAAACAGTCTAATATTTCATTTTTTCAGATTCCTTTCTAGTACTTGGGAAATTTTTTAAAAATCTGCTATTTCAAGGTGTTTTGAGCATGAGAACAAGCCCCTTAGCCTCTGTACCTGTCCTCTGCCCAGCTTCTGATGCTCTCATGTGATTGCAGGTACTCTGTTCCACCTGAGCATGGAAAGCGGTTGGAACGCCTCGCCAAAGGTATTGTGTCTCCCCTTTTTGCTGGGTTGGACTCTCCTACAAGCTGTACTTCTTGCTCTAAACCAAAATGTGCATTCCCCATGGTCAGATTCTTGCAGGTCCTATCATAGGCCTGCAGGCGAGGGTGAGTCACATTGGGTACTGTAAGAGGGCAGTGACAGAGCCTTTTTCTTCCTTTTTTCCTGTGCAACGACTTGGTCATTCCTTCTTTGGTTGTCTGTGCCTCAGTTTTACTGAGCAGGAGTGCTTCTTTGACCAGGGATAACGAACCAGACCCAGTATGACTGGTGTTTCCACTAAAGACCCAAATGTTAAAGAAAAAGCTGAATTTTGTTTCTTTTAAGTGGACTTAGATAGATTTGTACATCTAGAGAACATATTTCAGGAAAGCCTGGGTAGATAATACTATAGCTGCATTACTGAAGAAAGAACAGGGGTACACGTGACTGGAGAAAAGGTCCTAAATAGTTTCAAAGCTCTATAAGAACAGAGGCAGCTTGGGTGACCTTGGTTTCCCAAACAGGATTTCATTACCCATGTAATGCCTCCATGGGAGTGAGCCCAGAGACTCACTGTAGAATCTTAGAATTCTACAATGCGGAGCTATGAGGATCCCTGGAGGTCACATTGGTGATTCATCCTGTTTATTATTCAGATGAGAAGCACAGGTGTGAAGTGACTCCAGGATTGCAGAGCTAGTGTGGAGCACTGTGTTAACCCATATCCTTTCAATTAAATAGGCTTTTTCCCTGGAAGTGCTCAAAGCTGTGAGGCATTTCTTCGCCACAAAATGACCCTGATTTCCCCGTTAATGCTGAAGAAATATGGAATTCCCTTTGACAAGGTGAGCTCATGTTACCTGCAGAAGTTCTTAGGCTTACAGACACTACTCTTTCTGGCCTTTGTTTTACAGAGTTTTATTCTAGTTCATCATTATACCAGGACAGGGCCAAAGCTTAAGCAAACTATGTAGCAACACTTTGCTCTAAGGGCAATAAAGGTGGGGCACTGTACCCTCCTGGTGCCAGAGGAGAGTCAGATCCCTTTGAACAAAGCTCATTTGGAGGAATGGTTAATTATAGTCTTGTCATCTGCTAAGTCTAGGCTTTGCATTTTGTAGAAGACAGCAGGACCCCAGGGATTTTATGACTTACCCTTTGTTGCTCAGCTAAGTTGTGGTGGAGCCCAGAATTCCAGTTCTGTGGACTTCTGCCATTTGAAGCAGCTGCTTCAAGCCTGCTCTTGTTCAGGTGACTCAAGAGGCCGGAGAGTTTATGATCACTTTCCCTTATGGTTACCATGCCGGCTTCAACCACGGCTTTAACTGTGCGGAGTCTACTAATTTTGCTACCCGTCGGTGGATTGAGTATGGCAAGCAAGCTGTGCTGGTAAGTCTGCTTGATTTCTTTCTATAACACCATGGCAAAAATGAGCAAATTCTGGTTAGAGACATTGGCTGGTGATTAGACTATTTCTTGAAGCTGCTGGAGTTCAGCAACAGAGGGGCTAGCCGTATGTCAAAGTATTAACATTGTGTGTTCATAAGGAAGTTTTAAAAATGTGTTCAGATTTGGGAAGTATAAAATGAGGTTCTGTGCTTTAGTCTGTTAGGTACCAAAACCACATCCATACACGTTAATATTCTTGCCTTAGCCACTCTGAGATTTCTGTGTTGAAATTCTTAGGGGTTTCCTTTACTCTAGGGAAGCAGCAGGGCTGAGCCTTTGACTAGTAGTAGTAGACTTGTTTGTATGTTCCCGGGTTGGACAGGGAACAAGGGCAGGTGGCTGTTAACCATCCTGTGGGCCTAAGTGCGGAGCCTAACCACCCTCTGTGAGCCTAACCATCCTGCAAGCCTGTGGACCAAAACAATGTGGTTATAAACCATCTTGCACTTGTTTCTATGTGGAGGGAGGAACTAGGATGTGAGGGTGAGTGGAAACAGTAAAGCATGCTTACCTGGTGCTCTTCTGGTTCCTGATGACAGTGCTCCTGTAGAAAGGACATGGTGAAGATCTCCATGGATGTGTTTGTAAGGAAGTTTCAGCCAGAAAGGTACAAACTTTGGAAAGCTGGGAAGGACAACACAGTTATTGACCATACTCTGCCTACGCCAGAAGCAGCCGAGTTTCTTAAGGAGAGTGAACTGCCTCCAAGGGCTGGCAACGAGGAGGAGTGCCCAGAGGAGGACATGGAAGGGGTGGAGGATGGAGAGGAAGGAGACTTGAAGACAAGGTAACCCAGCAGCCCTTTGGTACTGGCTGTGTGAGGGAGGGATGTCTGGGTAGGTCCCATAACCTGCGGAGAGACTGTTTCTAAGAGGCTGTTTGTGCTCCGGCTAAGGGGAGTGTTGTTGGTCAAGGTTCCAGAAACTGGAGAGCCACAGCATTCAGGCACTTTCTGAATGAGACACCCATAGTGGGCATGCAGTCTGCTGGAGCAAGGGGTCATTTCTATGAGGGCCAAGGGCATGTATGTACGAAGGTCGGGCTCCCTATGAGCCAGATAAGTCATGTTTTCTCATCATATGACAGGGTCTTTTAAAAAGAAGTGTAGTGTGGATGAGACTCAAGGGCATTGGTGATGTCGTGATTTAAGCCTGCAGTGAGTGCCATTGGTGGCTGAGCCAGGGGATCTGTGCTCTGAGGAGAATTGATCCTGGGCCATGTGGGAAAGAAAGGAGGGACTGTTCCTTGGTACCTACCATATGCTGGGCACTTTGCCAACTACTCTGCATACCATTTCTTAATCCTCACAACAAATCTGAGGTGGGTGGTGATAGCTGTATTTTCCAGATGATGGAACAAGCTCAGAGAGGTGAAGTCCTTTGTTTCAAGTCACACAAGTAAGAGGTGTCCCTGAGTTTTGAGCCAGGCCCGACAGGCTCTGGCCATTCACTTTGGGCTGTGTGTAGATGTGTGTGAATGTGTTTGAGTAAGTGGATGTATATGTGAGCTCTTAAAAGATTTGCCCTCTCTGTTGCAGCCTGGCCAAGCACCGAATAGGGACAAAGAGGCACCGAGTTTGTCTTGAAATACCACAGGAGGTGAGTCAGAGTGAGCTCTTCCCCAAGGAGGAACTGAGTTCTGAGCACTATGAGATGACGGAGTGCCCGGCTGCCCTCGCCCTCGTGAGGCCCACCCATAGCTCTGTGCGTCAAGTTGAGGATGGTCTTGCCTTCCCAGGTTAGTTGACTATGGTATATTTTTCACAACCCTAACTCCACATGTGTCCCGTGTTAGATGTCATACTGAGTGTTAGGTCCGAAATAAAGGAGAGTGACAGGTCTGTGAGCAGGTAGCATGCTTAGAGTGTGAGAAGTGCTTTGGGTAGGGATGTTCAGGGTGGACTGGGCACATAGGGAAAAGCTCCTCCCTCTGCCTGGTCAGGGGTCAGGGAAACACTGGAGGTTTTGGTGAAGGTGACCCTTAAAAGGTAAGTAGGACCTTTCCCAGCAGAGAGAGAGAGAGGAGGGATATAGAAAGGGCGTCCCAGAGGGGAGGAGCAGGGCACAGGCTTGGAGATGGGAAATTTTTTTTTTTTT